CGCCCGCCCCGCGCGGGCTGCCGCGGGGAGAGCTGGGGTCCTCTTCTGGGTTAAAGCTTAAACATTATGCAGCGCTTTTTTGTCACTTCTACGGCGCATGCGATGTCGAGCAGCGAGCGTTCGCAGCTGGGTGGCTCTTGCACATCGTGCAAGTCGCACAGGACTAAGATGTGTTTAAAAGCGCTGTCAGAAGGCTTTATTATTATTATTATTTTCCTGGCTTTTCGGCAATTATCCTCGTTGATGCAAGCAGGTTGTGCTGAACAGGTGCACCTTGAGCAGGCGCGCGGCTGCGCCTTTCCCCTGACACCCTGCTCAGGTACCAGCTGCCGATTTGTGCCAAAGCCCCGATGAAACTAAGCACTCCCTTCCGTTACCCAGGGGCTCTCTGAAACTCAGCAGCCCTTCCCGTCGTGGAGGCTTGGGGCAGGCGCCTCTTGCTCCCCATCTGGCGTGACTGGACGTGTGTCTTGGGAAGTGCCCAGGGCGCTGCAGAACCCCGGGGCGCTGCGGTCGGGTGTTGCTCATGTGCGACACAGCAGCTCCGGGAGGGGGTGCCACTCAAGACATCTTAAAATGTTTATGTTGACCAGATAGGTTATAACACAGGACATGTTTGACTATCATGAGAAGCACACGCTGCATCTCCAGCAGCTAAAGCAAAACTTGCAAAACTTTGCATGTCTTCACAAGACGTTCGGAATATGTGTGCTCTAAAAAAACCTACTTAGGTGAGGCAAAGCCTGAATCACAGGATTGTTGTTGCTCTTAGTTGCGTATATTAGCAGCCTGTTAGCATAGAAAACAAGTGTTCATACTTGTGAATATCAGAGACAGTTTTGGATCATGTTTGCATGTCTGTGAGGTTCTGAGTTTTATTAGGTCATCTCTGATTAGTTTTATATCAACATCTAAAATCATCTGGGGTCGAATATTGCTGCGCGAATATAAGCTGCACGCAAAGGGAAAAATCAGAGAACAAGGTGCAGATCATTTATAAAGAATAACATTCTCCTTTGGGAGGACTTAATATGCTCACATACGCAGGAAAAGGAAACTTAGTTGTATCAGGCAAAATTTACCGTAAGTTTTAAAGGGAAGATGTTTTCAGCATTCTGAGTGTTTACCTGTCAGTCTGAAGCTGCTCATTCTTTGTGAGAAACAGTTTCATAAATCCTGCTTCTCTCACTGACGTGCAAATACAGATTTTAACGGATTTAAATGAACTTTATTTTCTAAATCTAAACCAATAGTAGTTGCAGTCTGTTTCTGAGGGACTCTCCCCTGGAGCTACAAACTGGGTGTCAGATTTTGGCTTTGGGGTATCTGCCTTTGACCAGCTTTGTGCATTATGGAACGGTCTTGCTGCGTAAAGAAGGGAAAATAAGTGAGGGCCCTTGCCGTTCTCTTTGCCCCGAATATTTATAGTTTTTATTTCTCCTTTGCAGAGATCCTGAAGGACCTGGATGACTATTATGAGAAATTTAAGCGAGAGACAGATGCGGTGCAGAAAAGAAGGATGTTGCACTGCATCCAGAGAGCGCTAATTCGGAGCCAGGAACTGGGAGACGAGAAGATCCAAATCGTCAGTCAGATGGTGGAGCTGGTGGAGAACAGGACGCGGCAAGTGGACAGTCACGTGGAGCAGTTTGAGACGTGCCAAGAGACTAACGACACCACGGGAAGTAGCGGGAAGGCCGGCCAAGATAAATCAAAGACTGAGTCAATCGCTCAGGCCGAGAAGCCCAACAACAAGAGATCGAGGCGGCAAAGGAATAATGAAAACCGAGAAAACGCTTCGAATAACCACGATCACGATGACATCACCTCAGGAACTCCAAAGGAGAAGAAAGCAAAAACATCTAAGAAGAAGAAGCGATCCAAGGCTAAAGCAGAGCGGGAAGCTTCTCCCCCGGATCTGCCTATCGATCCAAACGAGCCAACATACTGCTTGTGCAACCAGGTCTCCTATGGAGAAATGATCGGATGCGATAACGACGAGTGCCCCATTGAGTGGTTTCACTTCTCCTGCGTGGGACTCAATCATAAACCAAAGGGCAAATGGTACTGCCCCAAATGTAGAGGAGAAAATGAGAAGACTATGGACAAGGCATTGGAGAAGTCTAAAAAAGAAAGGGCCTACAACAGGTAGTTTGTAGACTTTTCGTAGTGAAGAAGAAAACCACCAAACCAGTGTATTTATTGTCAGTGTCACCTTTGTTGAGGTGAAAGGATTGTAAAATGTATATTTTTAAAGGAGGTTTAAAACTGAACCATTCCTGTTCTAGGGACGGCAATAAAAGCAATTTTGTTTTTCATTTGGTAAGCTGTAACAAGAATGTGGTCTGTGGACCAATGTATTCCAAAAAGTGAAGTAATAAGAGTTTAAGTTGAATATTCATCTGGGTCTTAAAAGACTTTTTTTTTTTTTTTTTTGGTGCTGGTAGCACTCAACCCATTAAAATTTTGATGACAAATATTTCTGCAATGTAATTTCTTTTTCTTTAATGAATAATTTTATTTGCCTCTTGAGCAAAATTGTCAAATAGTTTCTCCATCTGGCAGTATTTCAATAAAGCTACAGTACATTAAAAATATAACTTCCTTCAGTGATAACCAGCGCAAGATCGAACAAAAGGAAAGTAAGATTTGGGTTCTGCTACAAAGTGTGTCAGTATAACAGTTCAATAGCAAATGTTTAAATAGGCTTAGAAGATTATTTTTTAAAAAAAGGTAAATGGTTAAATTTTACACAACAAATATTTTATATGCTGGCCAAGTACCACAAAGGCCATTTTAAGATGATTGAATATGTTTTATATTTAACCAGGAAGTGGTTTAGTAATGAAACTTAACATAAATCAAGCTTTATACTGTCACAGATAGTAGAGTAGCAATCCTTAATTTGTATAAGTTGTATAAATGTACATTTTTAAGTGGAGTTGCACTTACTGTATTATATTTGGAAATGCAGCCAAATGCCATTGTGTAACCAATGTGCATTTCCTGCTGTATGTATGAAAATTGTACAGCTGTGATATCAAGAAATAAATGAAACAGCTTTGACAGTTTGCTCCTTTAGCAATCATGCTTAATGATCATTCCTTTTAAAAAAAAAATTAAAATCTCTTTAACCTTCGCAGCTCCAGCAAGCTGCCCCTAAGAAGCCTGAGCCTGCTGTAGTGGTAGCCAAATTATAGTTCTGATAATAAATCTTCATGGAGTGTGTGACCAGCACGAGTGTAAGGGAGTTAAAACAGCTTTTAACCTGCCATGCAACTCTACCCTCCTTGTGTGTGCAGTCACTCCCAGATCTGCCATTTATCTAAAAATCAATAGTATGAAAGTGGTCCTGTTCAGTTGTTTTCATGCTTTTACAGTATGGATATGAATTATTCCACGTTCATTATCTGCAGAAAATGCTCTTGCATTACACTATTTTTAAAGCATTATTGCCGCTATTCCAGGGGAGGCTTTTTTATTTTTTTGTGGCCGCCACGTATGAAGTATTTTAGCTCTGGTGAAAGTGCTGTGCTTTATCCTGGGACTCCCCGTCCTGTTTCACAGTGGCCCTTGGCTGGTTATTTTCTTCCCCTGTGTAGCTGGAGGAGCAGCCCCTGCGGCTGTGGGGATTCTGGCTCCTCGGCTTCTCTTGCAGGCGTCGCTCCAGGGGCCTTGGCTGTAGGCGAGCACGGAGTGGGAGCCGGGAATGGAAGAACGGTAACGGCAGGAAAATGCAAGTAGGTTGGGAAAACCAATGGGTCAGGAAAGAAAGAGTCGTGAGAACAAGATTAGAGGTGGGGATTTTTTGGGACATGATGTTGTCCATAACTGCACTGTTTCTAGGACAATAAAAACTAAAGTGATGTTTGTTTTTTTTTCCCCCCCCTCTTTCCCAGTGTATCCTAGCCAGTCTTGCTGTTGGAAATAGGGAAGACGAGGTTTTGGAGCCAGCTGAACACAGGCCAATTGAAGGGACTAGGTATTGCTTCAAGAGTAAGCCCCAAGATGCCCCAACTGGTATGGATAGCTCCCGCCAGATGTACATGTAAGTGTGTATATATATGTACACACACATACACATACCGCGCTGTGTACATGTATATATGTACGAGACAAGTAAAAGTGAGGCTTTAGCTTTAAAGAGGCACCCTAGCGTGTGTGCTTGCCTGTCTATGTTCGCAGTCGCTGCAGACAGGCAAATTAACCCTGAGTCACCTTTGCATTAGGTAAATGTCCGCTCAGAGTCAAGTCTCCTGCTCCCCGGGTGGCTAAGGTTAACGTAGCCTTTCTGTGTTTCTTTCTTTCTTTTCTTCTTCTCTTTCCCCTTTTCCCCTAATGTCTCTTTTTTCCATTCTTCCTACAAACTTGCCCATCTTTCCTGCTCCTCTCTCCACTTCCTGCTGTCACGGCTAATCCCAGGGATTGTGGCCTCTTCCATCTCAACTCTTCGCTTGTCCTCCCACCAGCTGAGGGAGAGGGCAGAGACGCTCAGTAAAACTGAACAATGCAATTTTATACGAGGCTTTGGACCCTGTGTGTCTCAGTAAGTGTCTGCACTGGTTCTGTGGTGCTTCCTACATGTGAACAGCCAGAGGGGAAAAAAAAGGATGTGAAGGAACATGGTCAGAAAGTTCAGCTGGAGGTAGGTCAGTAGAACAGTATTTACCTTGCCCTTAAATGAACACACTGCCCGCTCCTGGTGGCTTGCTGAGCTCTCCCTTATCTCAGGCTTTGATGAAAAGCAGATGCAGATCCGCTAAGTGGCCTGAAATGCCGTCCTGCTCCACATTTTGACATGATTTATGTTATCTTCCCTGCTCACCATATATATATATGTATATATTTATATGTAGGCTACAACTTAGCTGTGGTCCCTGTTGATGGCAGGATTGGCGCTGCACCGTTAGCGGGGCCCGTTGCAGCCAGTGAGCACAAGTGTTTGCTTGGCTCCCGTTCAAGGTACCGTCCTGGGAAACTTGTGGTTGGTGGAAATTAGGGCATCTCATGTTATACTGACACACTGCTGAATGTTTCGCATCCTGACAACTTGGTTCTGGCTTCCATATACTGTTTAAAAAACCTGTCCTTACAAATGTAGTAACTCTCCTTTGGTTATTTTGGGTGAACCTAGTGGTCACAAGACACCAAATCTTCGAGCCGACTTTCTGTGTTTCTGCTCGTGACCGACGCAGCCGGTTTGTGAGCGCCGCAGCGCTGCCCGGCGTGGTGCCCGCACTCCGACTCGAGGAGACCCTCACAGCCTCGAGCGGACTTGGGGGCTCATCGCCCACAAGAGACGGCCAGGTGGGCTCTCTGCTCCTGCCTTCTGGCTGCTTTCCCTCGGGCCAAGGAAATAATGTGTAAAAGCCAGCGCATGCCGGCTGGGGAGGAGGCCTCAGCAGCACAAACCACGAGCTGCTTCAGCTTCTCACTGGAAGTGTTCGGGCAGCTGTTACCACCGCTGATCTGCGGCAGTGGTATCAGCGAGTCTGCATCGTGCTGCTGGACCCTTTCCCTCTCGGTCGAACACTTGCGACCGTTTCAACACGCGTGTCGAGCGAGCCTTGCCCTCGAGCGGTGCCGTCTGCCGGTGGCGGAGCTGCCCGGCCGCAGGGCGGCGAGAGCTGGCCCTGGAGATGCGAGTCCGAAGGTAAGAGAAGGCAGCGAGGGAGCCCTTGGTGTGTTGCTTCAGTTGTAAGTGCAAAGTGGTCCTAGAGGGACACACAGGTGGAGCCACCATGAGACAGAAATAGCAGAACAAAATATCAGTTTCAACCATTATATCACCTGAAAGCTGCCTGGTTAAGCCAAGCTACTGCCTCCATTAAGCCGCAGCAACCCTGGCCACGTGTAGTGTTAGGTTTGAGTAGGTTTCTTACTAATTAAGTGCAGTTGCTGATTAAATGTGTCCTAACTTCATAGAGTGGGTAGAAATACAACTGAACTGGACTGCTCCACTGGTTTCATTTTTTGGTAGAATATTTTGAGGTAACTCTTCAAAATTGTAATAAAGATACAGTAAGCAGTATTTTACAAAATATAATGAAAAAAATAACCAGACATGTCTAAAACTGAATTTGATTGTCACTGGGATGCATTCTGTTACTTTAGTTAAAATTAGGATTGTCCTCATAGCCCATTTAATCTATATATGTAAAATAACACCCTGTCATAGTCCGAAAGAACTAATGATTTCTCTTTTTAATATCAAAACTAGTACAAGCATTCAAAGTAATATAAAAATATAGAGAAAATACCTCTTCTTTTCCCAGATACTGCTGAAGTCTGTATCTAACAAGTTTAGGAATGACTTTGTAAGGAAGAGCACATACCTCTGTGCTGCTGTTAGGGCAGGAGAAGGCACGTTAAGGACCAGGTTAAGAACACAAGGCAGATGGCAATTTCTCAGTTCCTCAGTTTTGGGCTGCTGTTCATCAGCACACAAACTTGTGTAACAAACAGGGTTAATTTGATCTCTCAGTCTCTGACCAGGTTCACAATATAAATAGCTTTGCCAAGGGCAGTTGCCTTCGTTCATCTCTGCCTCATGTCAGGAGCCTGGCTAGCACCTTACTGCTCTTGCAGGTCTATTGGAAGTAGGAGGAAAAGCAGGTGCCTTTTTTAAATATCAGAGTCTTACATTAGAAGTATAAGTAAATGTTGTGTCCTAAAATTCCTGAAAAGGACTGCTGGCTTTCGTTCCTTATAAGAAATACCTTGCTGATTCATGAAGCTGTTTTTAGAGGTGCCCTACAATATCTATCCAGTATAAGGTGATGAAGTCTCAGATGCTACAATGAAGACCACGAAAGTGAATTATGATCAGAGAGATAGATACAAGTCAAAATCACAGAATCTCAGAATGGTTGGGGTTGGAAGGGACCTCTAGAGATCACCTAGTCCAACCCCCCTGCTCCAGCAGGGACACCTAGAGCACGTGGCACAGGGTGGCATCCAGGTGGATTTCAAAGATCTCCAGACAGGGAGACTCCACAACCTCTCTGGGCAGCCTGTGCCATCATCCTGGAGAGCACTGGAGATGGGTACAAGTCAAAATTCCTCCCAGGGTTGGGGTTTGGTCTACTGAACATCTAACTCCCATCTAAACTTCAAGTACCTACTGAAGCACTGAGCAAAAAATGTATCTGAAATGGCAGAAGAGAGTTGCTGTATCTCTGGGATGTAGAATGTTTGCCTGTGGATTGAATCTATCAAAAAAAGAAAAATAGAAAAAAAAAAAAGGGTTTTGGAGCATTTTCTCAGATTGCTTATCAAACGTGCGCCTATGAATATTGATAGTGCTATTCATGTTTAAGCTGGTGTGTTACTTTTATTTTCAACAGCTTAATTTTCTAATTCAGCCTTTTCATATAGCCATCAGCCAGCATGAGGGCTCAGAGGGAATATGCAGGAGCAGCAGAAGACACTGCTGACTATATGCTGATGCTTGGTCAGCTTTCCCTGTCAACCCTGGCCAAACTGAACAGCTGCTTTTGATTCTCACCATGGGGAAATGACAAAGAAAACGGAATGTTATCTTGCATTTGGCTTTCTCAACAGTCAAGTAGGTCCCCAAGAGCTTAACATATCTAGAGCTGCTAACCCAGCATCTGTAAAAAATATACGTACGCTTAACATGAACTTGGATCTTTTAGTGAATCTTGTAGAATTTGATAGATTGTCTTATACTCTCACCTTGTGGAAGAACTGATGCAGCTAAATGAATGCGGCTTTCGTCCCCTTGGTGCAATACATCCTGAACGCTCTCCTCATACAATATCCTTAACTATTTTGAATTTTTAAAATACGAATCAAGGTTGCAAAACAAAAAAATGTGGTGATAAAGATGAGAAACCCAAGTGAGTTGTGCATAAATGACTTACCTGCATTCAGAAAGGAATATTTTGCTGTGTTAATTATTAGATATATATCAGGGGACTTTTTGCTAGTCTCCCCTGTCCTTGAGATTTGCATGGTTTCATCTGAAAGAAAATGCTCTATTCTGATAATAATTTCCCCAGCCTTATAACTTTGAGAACAGACAATTTACTTAGAGCCATATC